GCCTCCTGTCTATTTGTTTGAATATGTGTTTGTGATTTTAGACAATATTTTGGTCATATCAACTATTTTTTTCTTGTAGTAATAAATTTATCTATGAGATAATAAAAAAAAAGAACAGACATGAGAGTATTTTCCCCTCGTGAGCTGGCCATGCAAGGACACATCAAGAAGATGGCCATCTACAGAACTTGAGGGGATGTCTCACCAGATACCACATCTAATGGCCCATTATCTTGTACTTCCCAGTCTCCTGAGCAGCAAAAAATAAGTTTCTATTATTTATAAACCATTTTAAGCCATCTAGTGTGGGATATTTTGTTACAGCAGCAAAACGAGACTTACAGGTTCCTTTCTGATGAGTTCATCTTTTCTGATGAGGCAAGAGAAATAACAACCATCAATCAAACCTTGCTTCCTGAATATTCTCCCTCTATAAGCCTATTATTTGCAATGGCTCTACTGCTTGAGGTAGAGGGTCTACAGGGAGCAGCAACCATCTTGTGGACTCTTCATAGTGAAGTCAGTACAGGGCAGTACCAGAGAGCACTGTGTCTGGTGAGCTTAACATTGCAATACAGACTGGTGGCTTTCCGTAGAGAATGTTTAACAGCCACCAGCATAATAAACCAACCACCCTTATTCCTCTGTGGGACACCTGCTAATAATGGCAATACATGACAAGTGGGTTCCCTTTAAAACTGGAACTTTCCATTAGAAGCATGTCCATCTGCCTCTGCAAGTGAGGTAACTCAGCAGCCCTCCAAAGTGTTTACTCTGTCGTGCTTGCCCTGGTATTCTTGCACTGGAAAGGCTCAGGCTAAAGCTGCAGACTCAGCTCCATAGCCCATATYCAGATCTCTGTCTTTGAAGAATTTCCAATGACATCCAACCCCTCACTGCAGCATTAAAACCATCCTGCCCTGTGCATGGGTGTTAAGTAACCCTCAAAGCCCTGGGCAAGGAAGGGGTTAATGAGATTAGCCTCCTTGTTCTGAGAACTCACTCTGAAGCCGGGAGCTCAGCTGGTGGTGGTCCCTGTGGTGGTCCCTGTCTTCACAGTGCTGGATAGGTCTCCTCTAACACCCCAACACTCTAGCCTCTGCTTTTGATCTCCAGGTCCATGCATCCAAGGCAGTCCAATTGACTTCAGGTAGAACGATTGCCTTTATCCTCAGTTTCTTCTGACTACAAGAGCAAACTCTTCTCCCCGTAACCTCACCTGTGAATTCATGTCCCAACCTTCCTCCACAGGCTACTGCACCGAAACCTTCTGTGAGATAGCTTTTCGATGAAAGGTAGAGCAACACGGGTGGTGATAAGGATGGTCATTGCCCTGAGTGCCCTCACCCCTGCCACCTACAAGATGCTGTGCAAAGGGCAGAAGAGAAAGACTTGACAATGTTCCATTTTGCAGGTGTTGCAATTGAGGCCTACTAAGATTGAATGATGTTCCAAAGTTGTAACCTAGCAAGTGCAGGAATCAGACCCCAAATCCTACTCTCAATGCTACACCACAGCCGGTCCCTATCTTCAAGTGGCACTCAGTCAGGCTTCTCCTCAGACCCAATATCCTGACTCTAGAGAGCTACACCAGTGCTTTCCTCCCCAGGAAAGTTGTCCTTCCCATGACCCACTTAAACTAGCAAGAAGGGACCAGAAGAACAGAAAACCACAGGGCCATGACACTGCCACACAGGTGTGATTTTATTACCATCGCATACAGACTAAAGGGATGCATGGGCAACTTCTGTTTGCCTGCTCCGCTGGCCTTTACTACAATTGGATTCTCCTGGGAATTCTTGGTGGAGGAAC